GGTTAATTCCTAAAAAATAGTATTGATTAAAAGGGACAACTTTTTTTTTCATGAGTAACCTTCAATTTGGACAAAATAGGGAAGTTATTGTTGTGGCCTATATTTTACTAGAGTCATAGAAGAAACGGATTCACCCACTAAATGCTTCTTGGAAAAATATTTGGAGTGCTTTCTAAAAATACACAACAAGTGGTTCTTTAGAAAACGTTTCAAGTGTTTTTTTTCTTTTCTTTTTTTTTTTTTGAACCTAGAAACACTTCTTAGCTTGTTCTGTCACTCAAACTTGTTAAAAAAACCCTTCTTGCAATCTGAAAGCGTTATTTAGTTATTTGGAAGTATTTTTCGAAGAAGGCTTGCGTAAGATATATAGTCCTCATGCTTTGCATAAAGCATTTAATGATACGATATTGGAGGAAAGCAAAAGGCTTCTATTTGGTTTTTTTCTTCTTTTTTGTTTTTGGGTATTAAGGAAACGAAAATGTGAAATGATTCAATCATGCACCACTAGGCTAGAACGAGAAAAACAGTCGAGTGAAATGATTCAACCATACGGCCGTCTCAGTTCCTCGAAAGGAGGATTTGGTGCTCTGTGACTTCCGAGTGAGTCGAGGAACCTACGCCGCCTCTCTCCGGCGCGGCCTGCTTTTCTGGGGTTTATTCTTATCTCCCTGTTGAGTCGTGGAGCTCGAAAGTTTGTGTTTGACGAGAGGAGATCGAGGGGTTCTGGGTGTGTGAGATGTGGGAGTATCTATTTTCGAATTTCGGGGGCGGTGTTCACGGTGCGGAAGGTCGGGGTCTCTAGAGGAACCCCTAACTCAAGGAGTCGGGAGGATGCTGGCCTGGACGCTGGGATAGACTAGGTACAACTGGTGGGGTGCTCCCTGGAGTGTTTTTGCGATGAATACGGTCTCGGCAGTCATGGATTCGGGGTAGATATACTAGATCTCTGTGAATCGGGGCTAAGGGATCTTTAAGGGGGCTTGTTTGGGGAATCTGGAATCCGACATGGCAAGGGACTGTGATCGAAGGGAGCTAGAAGATCTGGGTTCCCGTTTTGGATCTAAACTGAAATTATCTGAAAAAGAGAGAGAATGGATCAATATTGAAAGGAAAGACGTGGAAGGATCACTACTAGGATTTCAGTATACTTTGATTGCTGAAGTTCTTACAACAAAGCAGGTGAATGGCGAGGCGTTTATTGATTGTTTCATGTCCTTATGGCGGGGTAGGGAAGAAGTCTCTATTCGAGATATTGGAGAGCAACGGTTCCTAGCACGGTTTGAGGGGCAACGTGATCTGAGTAGAGTAGTGGATGCGGACCAACCCTGGACTTTCAAGAATGACCTGGTACTAGTAGCGGACAGAACGGAATCTGGGCTTAATCGATGGGCTCCGCTATCTGTGGGAACCTTCTGGGTTCTGATTCACAATGTCCTGCCGCTCAGCATGACTATGGCGGTTGCTGAATCCATAGGGGGTCTAATGGGTATAGTCCGAATGATCGATACTGCGGGTAGCCGCGACTGTATTGGGCGATTTCTCCGGGTAAAAATCAATTTCAATGTTCGCGAACCCCTGATGCGAGGAACTTATGTGAAATTCCCAGATGAGGGGAAGGTTTGGATAGATTTTAAATATGAAGCGCTACCGAGATACTGTCTAATCTGTGGAATGTTAGGGCATGCCACGAGAGTCTGCAAAAGTACCCTGTGTGAATCAGGGCGACAAGACGCGGACTCGGGGAACCTGGAGGAGGAGTATGCATTTCGTGGGCTGGATGCGGTGACTGACCTCCGGGGAAAACTACTGAGGCTGGGGCCACGAAGTAGGGGCTCCGTCGGATCCAATGGGGGAGATAGAAGCTCTGGAAGGTGGAAGGAAGACCGAAGTGAAGAACATGAGGGAATGTGGAAGTCAGGGCAGTCCTCCACGGCTTCAGGAACGGGTTTTCGTACACCATCCGGGGGGAGAAGATCTCGGAATGAGGAGGGTAGCCAGGATAATGAAGATGAGGAAGTGATTGATACGGCTATCTCACCGAGTAAACCCCGATGGTCGTCGAATAGACCGGAGCAGAGGAACCCATCTCTGGCAATCAACATACAGCGACAACGAAACGAGGAGGAAGAGGCGAGAAAGGCCAGGGAGAGGGCATTCGATGAGGGTCTAATTGGCCCAAGAGGAGTAGTTGCTGATGGGGTTGAGCATGTCGTTCTTAAGGAACTATGTGAAAATGAGGATGGGGAAATGGTAGCGGCTAAATCGTCACTGGAGTGCACCAAAGGTTTTGATTTGAATGTTGTGATGCAAACCACAGATGAAGTGGAACAGGATCGGCCTACTAGAGTGAACAAACCGCTTGAGCAGATGATTGACCAAACCGGACGGGAAGGTACCAACACTGCGAGCAGTGACCCTTTTGATTTGGAACCCATTATCAAGGCGGTGACAAAAGAGCAAAGAAGGAAAAAATGATTGTATACCGAGGTGGGGCATTCAGGTCTATGGGAACAGCTCGAACCAGAGAGCACCCGTCCAAGGAAGTGCTCATTTTCTAAGGCGAAGGATACCAGCCTTGAGGGGTCTCCCAAATCCCTATGAAGCTACTTGCTTGGAACTATCAGGGTATCGGGGGTGACTTGACGGTGGACAACCTGTTGGAAATGAACAGGACTCACACCCCCGACATAGTGATCTTGCTGGAGACAAAAAATAAAAGCAGTCGCTATAGTTTTTTGAAAAAAAAGTTGAATTTGGAGTTTATGCACGCTGTGGAGCCTAGAGGGATTGGAGGAGGATTATGTGTAATGTGGAGAGATGCCTCCCAGGTGGTGTGGATAAAATCTAGGGAATTCATGATTGAGGCGGAAATCTGGGACGATTGCAAGCAATGTGCCTGGCACCTATTTGCTATCTATGCTAGTACGGATGAGAAAAAACGGAGGGATCAATGGATGTCCCTAAGTCAACGGATTAGTAGAGCTGGAGAAAGATGTCTTTTAATTGGGGACTTCAATGACATCCTGAGAAATGATGAAAAAGAGGGAGGTAAGTACAGATCGGTGGCTAGCCTGCGGGACTTTCTGGGATTTTGTGGCGCGTAACGACCTAATGGATTTGGGCTACGAGGGATACCCCTTCACGTGGAGGAACAACAGGGAATCCGGACCAATCCAACAGCGCCTTGACCGTGGTCTGGCTAGCATGGGATGGCAGCATATATACCCCGACACCAAAATCCGACATATGGTGCTTGAGGGGTCTGATCACGCGATGCTTGGCCTAACTACGGAGAAAGCTAGAACATGGAAAGGGAAAAGATTTATGTATGAGGAAAGATGGAGCAAACAACCTGAGTGCCGGGACTTGGTGGGGAGGGAATGGCAAGTAAACTACAAGGGCTCCCATGGATACCGCCTAAGTGAAAAACTCAAATCCCTTGGAAAGAGTCTGAAAGTTTGGTACAAAGGAAGGGCTCGAAACTCAAAGCTGACCATTGACCGGTTGAAAGGTGAGATTCGGTCTGCCTACATGTCAAACAACTTCGCCACCACTAAAGTCCAAACAAAAGAAAATGAGCTAAGAGAAGCACATAAGGAAGAAGAGAGCTTTTGGAGGACTAAATCTAGAGTGCAGTGGCTTAAAGAATGGGACAAAAACACAAAGTTTTTTCATGCCCAAACGATGAAAAGACGACGATACAATCAAATTAGGGGAGTGGAAGATGATGACGGGATTTGGAGGGAAGGTCAGAACGAGGTGGCTTCGATTGCGGTGGGATACTTCTCCACACTTTTTCAGGCAGGCCCGCCATGCCAGTTGGAAAACATCGTGGATTGTATTGAGCCTAGGGTGACCTTGGAGGATAACCAAATGTTGATCGGACCGATTACGGATAGGGAGATTCAGGAGGCGGCTTTCCAGATTCCTGCGTCTAGAGCTCCGGGGCCGGATGGCTTTCCCGGCAGTTTCTACCATGATCACTGGGAGGTGGTAGGGAAGGACGTGGTCAACATGATAAAGGCTTTCTGGCACTCGGGTAAACTACTTCGAAATCTAAACCATACTAACCTGGTTCTTATTCCTAAAGTGGCATGCCCAAAGAATATGAAGCAATTTCGTCCTATTGCTCTGTGTAATGTTAGCTACAAGATTCTGGCTAAGGTACTAACGAATCGGCTGAAGAGAGTGATGCCGACTGTTATATGTGATAATCAATCGGCTTTCGTGGCGGGGAAGCAGATACAAGACAACATTCTTGTTGTGCATGAAATTCTCCACTCCCTTATGCATCAATCGAAGCTCGGAAGGTACTTGACAAAGGCATGCGATGGCGGGTGGGTGATGGAACGTGTATCAATATCAGGGACAATCCGTGGTTCCCAAAACCTTCCACTTTCAAGGCTCGGGTGAATGAGGGACTGCAAGCAAGTATGGTGAGTGACCTCATTGATCCTGGCACCCGTGAGTGGAAAACTGACATTGTTAATGGGGGTTTTTTGAAAGAGGATGTGTCCTCGATTCTCAGTATCTCTCTTAGTAGGTACGGCATGAGCGATCGTCTAGTCTGGCATTATTCTAAGAATGGGGAGTATACCGTTAGAACTGAATACGGAGTAGCCTTGAGGCTCATGGATAATGGCAATATGGGAAAGAAAGGGAGGGGAATGCCAAGCTCTGCCCCAAACCTCACTCATGTTTGGAACAAAATATGGAAATTGGAGGTTCCAAATAAAATGAAGTTTTTTATTTGGAAATGCTGCAATAACGCTTTGGCTGTTCGACGGAATCTGAAACGAAGAAATATGAGAGTTGACAATATTTGTGAGGGGTGTAGGCAGCCTGACGAGACGGAGAACCATCTATTTTTTTGATGCGAAATCAGTCACATTTTTTGGTTTTGCTCTCCTCTACAACTCAATTCCTTCGAACTGGAAGGAATCGACTTCCTTGCTTCCTGGGGGTCTTTCTGCGGCAGAGTTAAGGGGAAGGAAAACAAAATGGAGTTGATGCAAGAATTTGTGTTTGGGCTTTGGCGTCTCTGGAAAAACAAAAATGATTTAATTTTCAAAGGCGTGTCCCATCAACCCCTTGATATCCTCGGGCTCTGGACGAGGAACCTGGGCGAGTTCAAGGAGGCGGGATTTCAAAGAACGATAAGTGCTCACCCCTCTGATGGCTTGTCGACCCTAGCCCCGGCAAGAAGATCTGGTCTGTGGAGGAAGCCGAGCTTCGGCACCATCAAGGTAAATACTGATGCTGCTTGGCGCAAGGAGACTTTATATGCAGGTGTGGGATGGGTTGCTCGAGACTTTGCTGGTTTGCTGCAGGCGGCGGGGGGCTCGGGAGGGAGACTATGCCATAGTGCTGCAGCAGCTGAAATGTTAGCAATCCGCACTGCTTTGGAATTCTGTGTTCGTTTTGGTTTCAATTCTGTGGCCATCGAATCAGATGCTAAGAATATAATCCAAATGCTTCGGAATGAGACTACCCCTGACTTCAGTTTGGAATGTACTTTTGGTGACATCGCGACTCTAGCCCGTGGTTTGGAGTCGGTAACTTTCGATTTTGTTTCTCGGGAAAGTAACCGTGCGGCGCACTCGGTGGCCAAGTATGTTTTCCAAGAAGGAAAGGAGTCGGGAAAGTAACCGTGCGGCGCACTCGGTGGCCAAGTATGTTTTCCAAGAAGGAAAGGAGTTTGTCTGGGACCATATTGGGCCTGATTTTTTGTTTAATATTTTGGCTCAGGATGTAAACTTATCTATTCATTTATAAATTTCTGCCTTTGGTTTAAAAAAAAAAATGATTCAACCATACAACACCTTAACTTTCCCAAGGGCCAAGACGACACCTCAGAACTTCAGGGATGGTCAATGCGTCGGAATAGGATTCTTTTGTCTCCTATTCCATCATTTTTCTAATTCCCTCCTCTCACACTTTGCCTTTTGTCTTATAGTCTTTACAAAAAATTCAATATAAGACGTTAATGTGGCTTAATCTTAACCATTCAAGTAGGAAGAAAGGGAAGTGGAGAGAAATCAGAAGGGAGAGAATCATCCTCCCAATGCGTCACTCCGTTACCCCAAGCTCCCAAAAACAACATCAAGATTGATCTACTAGTCATTACAAGAAACAGATTTGACCACTGAGCCGCCACGTTGATGTTGAACTTATTAATCAAATGCTTCTTGAAAAGCATTTGAAGTGCTTCATTAGAAAATACTTCAAGTGCTTTTTTGAACCTATGAACACTTCTTGTTCAGTCAAACATGTTAAAAAACACTTCTAGCAATCTAAAAACGCTTTTACTTATTTTAAAAACATTTCTAAACCACCAATAGACGCAAGCGTTTTCTGGAGAAAGGCTTGCGTAAGATATTTAGTCCTCACGCTTCGCACAAAGAGCAGTCAATGATACGATATTGAAGGAAAGCAAAAGGCTTCTATTCTTTTTTTTTTTTTTTTTTTTTTTTTTTGGTATTAAGTAAATGAAAATGTGAAATGATTCACCCATGCAGCACTGGACTAGAATAAGCAAAACAGTCGAGTGATAGACTTTATACCAATGTGTCAAAAAATCAAGAGTTCCTTCTACCTAGAAGAGATGAGCGAGCTAAACAATTTCCCTTGATAATCTGAAGTCGCGCATTCATGCCCTGCAAAACCTTTCATCCGCAGCTGCAACGATGTCCCTAAATAGCCACAAGGTTTCGTCAGACTCATACATTAACAAAGAGATCCTCCAGCATGGAGAAATAACTCCTGAATATTAGATTAATTTAAAGGATAAATAGAAAAATATAATAAACCCAATACTAGTAGATAGATGCTCACAGATCCAGGATTCGAACTAGACATTTAAACTACCGGTTCTGAAGAGAGCAGGAGCAACCTCAGATTCCTCAATCAAACAAATCCGACACTGCTGTCTTCTTAAATGGATCAACTTGTGCCAACTGCGCCAGTGCAGATTTGTTGGGAAAGATATTATCTGCTTTCATCCTCTCCCAGATTCCATAAGCTGGAGCCTTGGCATTTACATAGGCCTGAATAAGAGATTGGAACTGACGAAGGTGAGGCGTATAACCAGCCTGTCTCATGCTATGAAATATCTTTTCTGAGTTATGGATGTCCCCCTTTTGTGAATATTGTTCCAAAATTGTCATATAAGAAGTGAACATTGGCTTCTTTTGGTTGTTCTGGGCAGCCTTCTGCAAAATAGAATCAGCCCTTCCAACCTCTCCTGCTTCCACATAGAGTTTCACAAGTGCATCCCAAGTTAATGGCCCAATCTCGCAATCGTTATCTGCCATACGCTTGACAAGATCTTTACCCTTGTCTAGCATTTTATTGTTCGCATACACCTTCAACATCACAGAATAATGCTTGGAAGAAAGTTTCTTCCCTGATTTTAACATCTTATCAAAAACTGCCTCTGCTTCTTCAATCTTTTTCAACTTTCCCCAAGCTTCGATTGCAGCCAAACACTCTACAAACAGAGGATTTGATTCACAAACCTTCCAAACTCTCCGTACTTCGTTGGCATTTCCCAACTCAGCATAAAGGGGAAGCAAAGATTGACAAGCCCAACGATTCTGTTTTAAGCTTCCAGATTCCATGTCCTTCAAAACCGCTTCGGCTTTTTCTTTAAGACCGCCAGCGGCATAGTGCCTAGCCAAGGTGGCTTTTGTGCTGATTTCTGGCTCAATGCCTTCCGCCTTCATTGTCTCATAAACTCGCTCCATTCCAGTTATGTCATTTGACTGGCCTTTTGTATCTATTAGGACTTTATATGTGAAGGCAGTTGGCTTGACATCTTCTTTCTCCATTAACAGTAATACAGCTGGTATCTTCTTCTTGTCAAGCCTCTTGTAGAGGAGTAGCAACTGGTTGCAAGTAAATGCTGTGACCGAGAATTCTAGGTCCTTCATTTTGTTGAAAACTTCTTCGGCTTTCTTCATATTGCTGGTAGAGACACAGTATGCCAACAGGGTTTGGTACATTACCTCACCTCTAAAGGATTTTGGAATCTTCTCGAGATAGTTTTCTGCCCTTTGGAGGCCACGTACTTTGGCGATTAAGCCGAGACGAGTTGCATAGTCTCTTTCATTAAATTCAATCTTCTTATGCTCCTCCAACCACTCTGAAAGCTGCAAAGTGCAGCACACAATAGTAAGATTCCATGAGCACGAAATTCATGCTTTTAAGGAACCGGGAAACAAACACAAGAAAAAAAGATGCAATTGTGATGCAAGAAGATGCTACTGTCTTCATTGTATATCTAATCTATTGAGGGAAATGATGAAATGAAAAGAAAGTAAAACTATCACAAATTTGTTCTGCTTTAAATCAAACTATAAGATGCACAAATGGAAGCATTGCCAAATCAGTGTGCTACGGTCACTTTCAACATAAAGCTACAAATTTCATTAAAGCATGTGAGAACTCATGACTTCAAAGTCAACTTCTCTTACCTTTCATCATAAAAATGGGACTCAAAGAAATAAGTTTAATGAGATGACCATTAATTTATCATAAAAAAGAAAACCAAAAGATCCAGCCATAAGCCAAGTGCAATTGACTCATTGAAAAATATGTATCAGTCCTCCTTCAATTACAATTAAACCAAAAAAAAAAAAAAGAAAACCAACAACAACAAAGAAGCGAAGTGTGTCATGATTACAACATAAATATATCAAAACAAGAAGCTATTCTATGCAACAAAGACCTGAAAAGTGTATCAAATGCTAGAATACTTCTGAGATAATGCAGGCAGGCTGCTATGTTGAAATATCTCTATTTTTCTTTTCTTAATCAGCTACGTTGGCTTATTTATATAAAAAAAAAAGGTCATACCCAGTGCACAAGGCTCCCGCTTTACGCAGGGTCTGGGAGAGGTGAATGTCGGCTAGCCTTACCCCCATTTATGGAGAGGCTGCTCCCAAGTCTCGAACCCGAGACCTATCGCTCATGGGCGAAAGCACTTGTCTTGATAAATAAATTAAGTGAGAAATTATAAGGCAGCTAAGACCAAATTAAAACTTTTGAGATTATCATCTGGTTTACGAATTTTTTAAGTGTCAATAGAAAATCGAGTCAAAGTACCTGTAATGCCCTCCCAAACATTTGACGCCTGCGAAAATTGAGCAGGGCCATCGATATCTGTGTCCGGTTTATTTCATTTCCTTCTTCTACCCACTTATCAAGAGCACCATGAACAGAGAAACCCGGGAAAGCTAAGATGGCCTTGTAAAGTGCTAAAGGGTTTCTTTTCTTTCGCGATATTTTATCACTTGGATCAGTCTCAGTCTCTGACAACTCTAGCTCATGTTGGGAAACCTCAACTTCTTCATCAACTTCAGAGAGTTCTGGTTCAGAAATTAATTCATCTATATTTTCATCATTTCCATTGATCTCTGGAATTGCTTCAACACTAGATGGTGTTTCAAGTTCAGAGAACCCATCTTCCAAGTCATCTTCCTCGCCATTGCTTTTTGCACCAGCTTGTGAAGAAAGGCTGTGTTTATCCATGGAGAAGTTCCAAGAAACACATGTTGTGTGGTATAGTCTCTTGGAAGGCAGACATTCATCAGACAATGATTTACAGGACTCAAAGAAACAAACATCCTCGTGTCTGTCAGTCATTGGTAGCTCCAAATTAGCACAACATACACGAGAAGTTCCTATGTTGAATGCTTGGTTCCTGGACGCAAGAGGAAAGCTAAGTTTCACATACATTCCCAAAGAAAAGAACCAACAACATAACATAACGAAAGATCCAGAATTTACTAGAAAACATCCTGCATAAAAAAAAAATAATAATAGCAGGAAATATATAACTAAAAGAGAGATAAAAATTCAGAAGATGTCATTGTCAAGCTTCTACTAGTACAAGCATATTATGAAATGCTCTGAGACAAAAGAAACATAAAATTGCATCCCTAAGAAACGTTTGGAAACAAGTGTAGCTGCTCTAGTGGTTATTCTCTATATAAAGAGAAAAGTGAGATTCAACGGCAGAAACGATGTTGCTGTAAAATATCCAGTGATGCGACAGAAGATATTTTAACAGACTAGGATCAAAAGAAGATAAATTTCCAGTCCTAACAGTCTCCACTCCATGAACTTAATTTGTTCCTCCTCTGTTTTTGTTTGTGGTTTTTTAAAAGTCGCGCGAAGCATTTCAATTCCATTCTAATCCCCTTCAAAACATTCTCTCTTCCTTTCAACAAAGATGAATTGAATGATTTCTAACTTCAAGGTAAGACAAATCCTTAAACAGCTTAACTCATTGCGTACAGAAGACAAATCAACACTGGTAAGCAAAATAAAAAATAAAATAAAAACAAAGCAGCCATTTGCACATCAGGTGATTAAGATGAACCCTAAAACCTGTAATCGTTCAGATTATTCTCTCCCACCTTCTGATTAACAAACAGGAGATTAAGATGGGGCCACTGAACCCAAGAGAGAAGGAGAGAGAGTACATACCTGAGAGGAAAAGAAGCACGGCGGAGAGCCCACATGGCGAGAGTCGGCAAATCAGAAGCACCTAACAGTAACAGTCCCAGGTAAAATGGAAATGGCGGTGCTCGTTGAGTAGCTCACTCTCTTAAACCCTAAAACCCTCCCTCTGGCGTCAGGAATT